ATGGAATATTCCCTGTGTTCAGGAAGTGCCAGCCCTGATTCCAAGCCTTGTATCCAGACCCAAAATTCCAGCACACAGGGAATTTTTTCCCTGTCCTCCTGCCTGGGGTTGGAATGACTCCAATATTCCCTAAAAATCCAGCCCCAGGGAGGTTTTGTCCATGGAATTCCCACAGTTTAGGAAGGAAGTGGAAGTTTTTTATGGAATATTCCCAGGAAGTGCCAGCCCTGATTCCAACCTTGTATCCAGCACACAGGGAATTTTTTTCCCTGTGCTCCTGCCTGGAATCCTTTGAAAGCTGCAAAAGGGTTGGAATAACTCCAATATTCCTTAAAAAGGGTGGGAATGACTTCAGTATTCCCTAAAAATCCAGCCCCAGGCAGGTTTTTATGGAATATTCTCTGTATTCAGGGAGTGCCAGCCCTGATTCCAAACCTTCCAGACCCAAAATTCCAGCACACAGGGAATTTTTTTCCCTGTCCTCCTGCCTGGGGTTGGAATGACTCCAATATTCCCTAAAAATCCAGCCCCAGGGAGGTTTTTTTTCCATGGAATTCCCACAGTTTAGGAAGGAAGTGGAAGTTTTTTATGGAATATTCCCTGTGTCCAGGAAGTGCCAGCCCTGATTCCAAGCCTTTTATCCAGACCCAAAATTCCAGCACACAGGGAATTTTTTTCCTTGTCCTCCTGCCTGGGGTTGGAATAGTTCCAGTATTCCCTAAAAATCCAGCCCCAGGGAGGTTTTTTTTCCATGGAATTCCCACAGTTTAGGAAGGAAGTGGAAGATTTTTATGGAATATTCCCAAGAAGTGCCAGCCCTGATTCCAAACCTTGTATCCAGACCCAAAATTCCAGCACACAGGGAATTCTTTATTCCCTGTTTTCCTGCTGCCAAAAAAAACCCCTTCCCCTGGATTTAAAGATTCCCTTTCCCAGGAATTCCCTTCCCTTTCCCCCCCTAAAAACTGGGAAAACTCCTCCCAAGCCCTAAATCTTGGGATAAAGAGGCAGGAAAAGAGGGACACGAGGTTGGATCCATCCCAATGGGAAGAACTTCCAGGCCTTGGGGATATTTTTCCATGGAAAAAAACCAGTTGATAAAACTCCAGAAATCCCTGAAATCCCAGGGAAAAGTGGGAAGTTGGGAATAATTTCACTCTTCCAAGAGTTAAGAAGCTCAGGAGCTTCCCAAGGGAATTATTTTGGGATATTTCAGCTGGATTTTCCAGCTTTTTCTCCAGTTTTTCCACCTCAAAACTCCTCAGTTCCATCCCTGGTACTCCAGGGAAAAACTCCCTCTGGAAAAATCCCTGGCACTACATGGAAAAATCCTTGGAAAAAAATTCCTGGTGTTACAGGGAGAAAACTCTGTCAGTCCATGGGAAAAATCTTTGGCATTATGTGGGAAAAATCCCTGGAAAAAAATTCCTGGAACTACAGGGAAAAATCCCTGGCATTCCATTGGAAAAAACTTTGACACTACAGGGAAAAATCCTAGGAAAAATCCCTGTTATTCCAGGGAAAAATCCCTGGCACTATGTGGGAAAATCCATGGAAAAAATTTCTGGCACTACAGAAAAAAATCCCTGGAAAAATCCCTGTTACTACCTGGAAAAATCCCTGAGACTATGAGGGAAAAATCCCTGGAAAAATCCCTGTTACTACATGGGAAAATCCCTGGCACTATGAGGGAAAAATCCCTGGAAAAATCCCTGTTACTACATGGAAAAATCCCTGAGACTATGAGGGAAAAATCCCTGGAAAAATCCTCAAGAATTACCTGGAAAAATCCCTGGCACTCCAGGGAAAAATCCCTGGAAAAAATCTCAAGAACTACATGGAAAAATTCCTGGCATTATGAGGGAAAAATCCCTGGAAAAATCCCTGTAACTACATGGAAAAATCCCTGAGACTATGAGGGAAAAATCCCTGTTACTACCTGGAAAAATCCCTGACACTATGAGGGAAAATCCCTGGAAAAATCCCGGAATAACCGGGAAAACTCGGGAAAAACCCAGCCCTGAGTGGAAAAACCCCCTTGGCCAATTCCCTCCCAAATCCCAGTGGGAATTCCCGAGGTCTGGAATTACCTGGGGGCGGGAGGGGCCACCCAGGGGGTTGTTGAGGAGCTCAAAGACAGGGAAAAATCCCTGGAAAAAAATCCCTGGCACTGCAGGGAAAAATCCCTGGAAAAATCCCTGTTACTACCTGGAAAAATCCCTGAGACTGAGGGAAAAATCCCTGGAAAAATCCCTGTTACTACATGGAAAAATCCCTGAGACTATGAGGGAAAAATCCCTGTTACTACAGGGAAAAATTCCTGAGACTGAGGGAAAATCCCTGGCAATGCAGGGAAAAATCCCTGGTACTATGTGGGAAAATCCCTGGAAAAATCCCTGTTACTATGAGGGAAAAATCCCTGGAAAAAATCTCTGTCACTACCTGGAAAAATCCCTGAGACTATGAGGGAAAATCCCTGGAAAAATTCCTGTTACTACAGGGAAAAATCCCTGAGACTATGAGGGAAAATCCCTGGAAAAATCCCGGAATAACCGGGAAAACTCGGAAAAAACCCAGCCCTGAGTGGAAAAACCCCCTTGCCCAATTCCCTCCCAAATCCCAGTGGGAATTCCCGAGGTCTGGAATTACCTGGGGGCGGGAGGAGCCGCCCAGGGGGTTGTTGAGGAGCTCAAAGACAGGGAAAAATCCCTGGGGAAAAATCCCTGGCACTGCAGGGAAAAATCCCTGGAACTACAGGGAAAAATTCATGGAAAAATTTCTGGCACTATGAGGGAAAAATCCCTGAGACTATGATGGAAATACCTGGAAAAATCCCTGGCACTATGAGGGAAAAATCCCTGGAAAATCTACTGACATGAGGAAAAATTCCTGAGACTATGAGGGAAAATCCCTGGAAAAATCCCGGAATAACTGGGAAAACTCGGGAAAAACCCAGCCCTGAGTGGAAAAACCCCCTTGCCCAATTCCCTCCCAAATCCCAGTGGGAATTCCCGAGGTCTGGAATTACCTGGGGGCGGGAGGAGCCTCCCAAGGGGTTGTTGAGGAGCTCAAAGACAGGAAAAATCCTGGGGAAAAATCCCTGGCACTATGAGGGAAAAATCCCTGGAAAAATCCTGTACTACATGGAAAAATCCCTGGGACTATGAGGAAAATCCCTGGAAAAATCCTCTGAGACTATGAGGGAAAAATCCCTGGGAAAAATCTCTAGCACTATGAGGGAAAAATTCCTGAGACTATGAGGGAAAATCCCTGGAAAAATCCCGGAATAACCGGGAAAACTCGGGAAAAACCCAACCCTGAGAGCGGGAACCCCTTTCCCACCTTCCCTCCCAAATCCCAGTGGGAATTCCCGAGGTCTGGAATTACCTGGGGGCGGGAGGAGCCTCCCAAGGGGCCGTTGAGGCGCTCGTAGACAGGGAAAAATCCCTGGGGAAAAATCCCTGGCACTGCAGGGAAAAATCCCTGGCACTATGAGGGAAAATCCCTGGAAAAATCCCTGTTACTACAGGGAAAAATCCCTGACACTATGAGGGAAAAATCCCTGGAAAAATCCCTGGCACTATGAGGGAAAAATCCCTGGAAAAATCTCTGGCACTATGAGGGAAAAATTCCTGAGACTATGAGGGAAAATCCCTGGAAAAATCCCAGAATAACCGGGAAAACTCGGGAAAAACCCAGCCCTGAGTGGAAAAACCCCCTTGGCCAATTCCCTCCCAAATCCCAGTGGGAATTCCCGAGGTCTGGAATTACCTGGGGGCGGGAGGAGCCTCCCAAGGGGCCGTTGAGGCGCTCGTAGAACCTGCGCTCGGCATCGTCGTATTTGTGCTTCTCCAACCACACCTTGTCGTGCAGGAAATGATCCAGAGCCATTTTCCTGGGAAAAACAGAGCCAGGAGTCAGGAAAAACAAGGATGGGAAGCGGGGAAGGTTCCCTGGGAATGTTTTCCGGGCCCAAGGCATGGTGGGAAAGGGTTTATTTAAAGGTTGAGGATAAAGAGGATTAAGGAGCGGTGACCTGGTCTGGTTTTGTTCCCGAAAAAAAAGCTTTCCAGGGATTTTAGGGGGTGGGAGAGGGGATTTGGGAGTTGGGAGTTTGGCCTGGGGGGTGGGAATTTTTACAGGGAATGACAGGGATTTTTCACAGGGAATGACAGGGATTTTCCCCATGGAATGACAAGGATTTATTTACAGGGAATGACAAGGATTTTTCCCTGTAGTGACAGGGATTTTTCCCATGGAATGAAAGGATTTTTATCCATGGAATGACAGGGATTTTTCCCAGGGAATGACAGGGATTTTTCCAGTGGAATGACAGGGATTTTTCCCTGTGAGTGTCAGAGATTTTCCCCATGGAATTACAAGGATTTTCCCCATGGAATGACAGGGATTTTTCCCGTGGAATGAGAGGGATTTTTCCCATGGAACAACAGAGATTTTCCCCATGGAATGAGAGGGATTTTTCTCCATGGAATGAGAGGGATTTTTCCCATGGAATGAGAGGGATTTTTCCCATGGATTGAGAGGGATTTTTCCCATGGAATGACAGGGATTTTTCCCATGGAATGACAGGGATTTTCCCCATGGAATGAGAGGAATTTTTCCACATGGAATGACAGGGATTTTTCCCAGTGGAATGATGAGGGATTTTTCACCATGGAATGAGAGGGATTTTTCCCAGGGAATGACAGGGATTTTTCCCAGTGGAATGACAGGGATTTTTCCCATGGAATGACAGGGATTTTCCCCATGGAATGACAGGGATTTTTCACAGGGAATGACAGGAATTTTCCCCATGGAATGACAGGGATTTTTCACAGGGAATGATGGGGATTTTCACAGGGAATGAGAGGGATTTTTCCCAGGGAATTACAGGGATTTTTCCCATGGAATGACAGGGATTTTTCCCGTGGAATGAGAGGGATTTTCCCCATGGAATTACAAGGATTTTCCCCATGGAATGAGAGGGATTTTTCCCAGGGAATGAGAGGGATTTTTCCCAGGGAATTACAGGGATTTTTCCCATGGAATGAGAAGGATTTTTCCCATGGAATGAGAAGGATTTTTCCCATGGAATGAGAAGGATTTTTCTCCATGGAATGAGAGGATTTTTTCCATGGAATGACAGGGATTTTTCCAGTGGAATGAAAGGGACTTTTCCCTGTAGTGTCAGGGGGCTTTCCCATGGAATGAGAGGGATTTTTCCCAGGGAATGAGAAGGATTTTTCACATGGAATGAGAGGGATCTTTCCCATGGAATGACAGGGATTTTTCCCTGTAGTGTCAGAGATTTTCCCCATGGAATGAGAGTGATTTTTCCCATGGAATGAGAGGGATTTTTCCCAGGGAATGAGAGGGATTTTTCCCATGGAATGACAGGGATTTTTCCCAGGGAATGACAGGGATTTTTCCATGGAATGAGAGGGATTTTTCCCAGGGAATGAGAGGGATTTTTCACAGGGAATGACAGAGATTTTCGCCATGGAATGAGAAGGATTTTCCCATGGAATGAGAGGGATTTTCCCCATGGAATGAGAGGGATTTTTCCCTGTAGTGTCAGAGATTTTCCCCATGGAATTACAAGGATTTTCCCCATGGAATGACAGGGATTTTTCACAGGGAATGACAGGGATTTTTCCCTGTAGTGTCAGAGATTTTCCCCATGGAATTACAAGGATTTTTCCCATGGAATGACAGGGATTTTTCACAAGGAATGAGAGGGATTTTTCCCATGGAATGACAGGGATTTTTCCGGGGAAAACCCCAAGTTGCTCCCACTCTGGAGCTTGTGGAGAATTCCAAGGGAAGGGGAATGTGAAATTGTGGAATGGTTTGGGTGGAAAGGGATGGGAAGGGTTTGTAATTCCAACCCCATTCCCGCTTTCCATGGATCAGGATGAGCCAAGATCTGTCCAAGCTGGATTTGGACACTTCCAGGCATGGAAAATCCACAATTTCTCCAGGAAAAATTGTGATAATCATCAGGAATATTTGGAAGGGACAGGCCTGGAACTACAGGGAAAAAATTCCTGGAAAAAATCCCTGGCATTGTATGGAAAAAAATCTCTGGCATTACATGGGAAAAGAATGGAAAAATCCCTGGCACTCCATGGAAAAATCCTGATCACTACATGGAAAAAAATCCCTATGGAAAAATCACTACAGGGAAAAAAATCCCTATGGAAAAATCACTACAGGGAAAAAAATCCCTATGGAAAAATGCCTGGAATTCCATGGAAAAAAAATCCTTGTCACTACATGGAAAAATCATGGAAAAATCCCTGTCCCTACATGGGAAAAATGCCTGGAATTCCATGGGAAAACCAGGATAAAGCAGCCCCAGTGGGATTTTTAAGGAGCAGCTTCCAGAGGGGGCTGGATTTGAAGGGAAATGGGAAGAGGGGATGGGATGAGGTTTGAATTCCAGCTGGGAATGGGGATGGAGCCAGGATTGGAGCAGGTGGAAAACAGGGATGGAGCAGCACAAGGAAAACCATCCCAGGATCAGGTTCCATCCCAAATCATCCCAAATCCCAGAGTTTTCCAAGAAAACGCTGCCAGGGAAGCCAAGAGATGAATAAAAGGTTGATGCTCCAAGAACTCTTTTTTTCCTGGGAATCTCAGCTCTATCCCAGCACCAGCCTTTGGAGAGGATCCCAAAGCATTCCCAAAGGAATCCTTCCCTAAATTCATCTCCAAACCTTCTTCCAGCTGGGAATGCCGCTCAGTTGGACATGGAATGAGGGGATGGAAAGGAGGAAGGTCTTGAATCCATGGAAAACAAAAAAAAAAAAGGGAGGGAGCACCAGCCTTTGGAGAGGATCCCAAAAATCCCCTGGAATGTTACAACCTTTTCCCTCCGGAACCTGAAGCCCAAAGCTCGTATTCCCAAAGGAATCCTTCCCTAAATTCATCTCCAAACCTTCTTCCAGCTGGGAATGCCGCTCAGTTGGACATGGAATGAGGGGATGGAAAGGAGGAAGGTCCTGAATCCATGGAAAACAAAAAAAAAGGGAGGGAACACCATTCCCAACCTTCATCCACCAGAATCCAATCAGGAGCAGGGAGGGGAAAATTCCCACAAGGAATTCCCGCAAGGAATTCCTCCCGATCTTCTCCACATGCAAAACTCCTTCTGGCTGAATCCCGGGAATTCTTTGCTTGTTCCCACCTCCCTCCTTCCCCTTCCCATCATCCCTTCCAAATAAAACATCTCCTACTTCATTCCCGGAGCCGGGATGGGCGGGGAAGGATTTCCCAAGGGAGATTCCCGAATCCCGGCAGCTCTGGAAGCTTCCATGGAAAAAAAACGGGATTCAGCTCTGTCGTAGGAGAGCTTGTGGAGCCAGATGGATTCACTATCCCGGTGCAGGAAGAAACAAGCCGGGATATCCTCGGGAATTCCGGGAATTTCCTCTCTCTTCCCGCTTTTTTTGGGATTTTCCTGGTCGTTTTCCCGCTGGGAATTCCGGGAGAAAATCCTCTCGTAGAAATTCCTCTCGGCGCTGTCGTACAGGGGCTTTTCCAGCCACGCTTCCGCCGCCACCAGCGCTCCCCAGCTGGGAATCTGCGGCTTCCCGCTCACCGGTGCCCGCTCCGAGCCGGGAAAAGCGGGAATGGCGGAGCTGGGAATGGCAGGAGGGGCAGGGCGGTGCCGTAACCCCGTCCGGCGTTCCTAACCCGGAATTCCAACCGGGGGATGGGATAACCAGGAAAGCGGGAGGCGGGAAAAGTTGGGATTTTTCCATGAACGTTCCCTCGGCTTTATCGAAATCCGGCTTGTTGATCCAAACCCCGTGGATGACGTGGTGGCAGGCGGAAAATTCTCGTGGGACAGCGCGGAACGCTTTGATTTTGGGAATGGCGGGGTTGGATTTCACCCCGAACTCGTCGGGAATTCTTCAGGGATTTGGGACTTCCAGGCGCTTCCCCACTCCAGGAATCCAGGAGTTTTTCCCTGTAAATGTTTTCCGCCCGGTCGTACAAGGGTTTATCGAACCACACACGCTCGGCCGCCATTCCCAGCAGGAATTCCGGGCGGGAATCGCCACCGCTCCGGGATTTGGGAGAGCGCTTCCTTTTCCGTTGTTTCTTCCCATTCCGGGATTTTTTGAGCTCTCCATCCACGGATTCCTCGGGCAGACGCTCGTTGATTTGGGAGGAGCCGCTGGGATCCGCCCGCCGCATTCCTGGGATTTGTGGTTTTCCAAGCAGGTTTTCTCAGGCCGGGCAGGGATTTTTATGGTTCTCATCTTTCCCAAAAAAAATAAAACAAGGGAAGAGGGGACAGAACAAGCACAGCAAAGCGGGAAGTTTTCCTCAGGAAAATCGGGAATATTCATTTTTTTTTTCATCCCATTTTTCCCCCTCTTTCGGGAATTTGAATTCCGAGGAAGCTCAAAATGTTTTTCCCAAAATATCCCGAATTTCTTTCCCAGTGTTTTAAACTTCCCGTTTTGGTTTTTCCACATTAAAAAAACAATTAAAAAAAAAAAATGGGATTTTGAGGAAATCCCTGGGAATTCCCAAGTTTTAAACCATCCAAGTAAAATTTTAAGAGAAAAATTGCTCCCAATTCCGGAGTTTTTCCCGGTTGTTCCCGGTCCAGGGTTGTGTTTTCCCAAGGAAAAGGGTGGTTGATGGAAAAGTGGGATTTTATTTGGGATTAGGAATCCCAAATAGCGGCAAATTCCACTTCTGGTTTTAAATTTAAATTTAAATTTTATTTTTAAGCTTAATTTTTAAACTCAATTTTTAAACTTTACCTTTAAACTCAATTTTTAAACATAATTTTTAATTTTTAAACTTCAAGTTTTAAACTTTAATTTTTAAACTTTCAAATTTTAACCTAATTTTTAATTTAATTTTTAACTTAATTTTTAACTTAATTTTTTAACTTAATTTTAAACCTAATTTTTTAAACTTAATTTTAAACTTCAATTTTTAAGCTCTAATTTTAGGCTCCAATTTTAAACTGTAGTTTTTGAACTTAAATTTTAAACTCAATTTTTAAACTCAATTTTTAAACTTAATTTTAAAATTCAATTTTTAACTTAATTTTTAAGCTTCAATTTTTAAACTTCAATTTTTAAACTTCAATTTTTAAACTTCAATTTTTAAACTTTCAATTTTTAACCTAATTTTTAATTTAATTTTTAATTTAATTTTTAACTTAATTTTTAACTTAATTTTTTAACTTAATTTTAAAACTAATTTTTTAAACTCAATTTTTAAACTTAATTTTAAACTTAATTTTTAAACATAATTTTTAAACTTCCATTTTTAAACTTCCATTTTTAAACACAATTCTTAAACTTAATTTTTAAACTTCAATTTTTAAACTTCCATTTTTAAAACTCAATTTTTAACTTAATTTTAAACACATTTTAAACTTGAATTTTATACTTAAATTTTTATAACTTAATTTTTAAACCTCAATTTTTAAGCTTCAATTTTTAAACTTCAATTTTTAAACCTCAATTTTTAAACTGTATTTTTAAACTTTATTTTTAAACTTTATTTTTAAACTTTATTTTTAAACTTCATTTTTAAACTTCATTTTTAAACTTCATTTTTAAACTTCATTTTTAAACTTCAATTTTTAAACTTCCAATTTTTAAATTGAATTTTAAACTTAATTTTTAAACTTAATTTTTAAATTGAATTTTAAACTTAATTTTTAAACCTCAATTTTTAAACCTCAATTTTTAAACTTAATTTTAAACTTTAATTTTAAACTCAATTTTTAAATTTAAACTTTAATTTTAAAACTTCAATTTTTAAACTTCAATTTTTAAACTTCAATTTTTAAACTTCAATTTTTAAACTTCAATTTTTAAACTTCAATTTTTAAACTTCAATTTTTAAACCTCAACTTTTAAACTTCAATTTTTAAACCTCAATTTTTAAACCTCAATTTTTAAACCTAATTTTTAAATTTAAACTTTAATTTTTAAACCTCAATTTTTAAACTTAATTTTTAAACTTTGATTTTAAACTCAATTTTTAAATTTAAACTTTAATTTTTAAACCTCAATTTTTAAACCTCAATTTTTAAACCTCAATTTTTTCAATATATAAATTATTATAAATCTATTAATATTTAAATAAATAGAAAATATTTCTAATTATAAGCGATTTTTCACAAACCCTTAACACAGAAATTAATAAAAAAATATTCCATTAATATTGAATTATATATAAAATAATTATATATAAATTATACATTTCCAATAAAACATAAAATATTTTAAACTATGAGTCTATAAATATAAAATACAAATAATTAAAATACTATTTAAGTATTAATATTAAATATTAAATAATTAATACCACTAAACCCAGTAAATATAAAATAAAACTAAATTGATAAAAATTAATATAAAATAATCTTTCTAAAAATACAAAACAAAAATTATTTTTTTATTACCAGTTGATTTTCCACCCAAAAAAACCCCTAAAATTGGGGGTTTAATATATTTTTAATTATTTAATATACTTTTTAATTATAGATCATTTTGCATAAACCCCTAAAATATAAATTAATATCATATATTCCATTAATATTGAAATATTTTTAATTATAATAATTTATTTATAATTTATTTATAATAATTTATTTATAATAATTCATTTATAATAATTTATTTATAATAATTTATTTATGTATAATAATTTATTTCTTTATAATAATTAATATAGAAATTATTTTTATTTACAAGTGATTTTTGCACAAGAACTCCTAAAAATCTAAATTACTATTAAAATAACAGTCCTGGAAATATAAAATTAATTAATATAAAATTAATTAAAATATTAAGAGCAACTAAATAAATATATATTTAATAATATACACCTATAATAATAATTTTTAAATTTAAATTAATATTTTTAAATTATTAATAATAATAAATAATAAATAATAATAAAATAATAAATAATTTTAAAAATAATTAAATAATAATACCTATAAATAAAATATAAATAATAATATAATATTTCTACAAATATAAAATAAAAATACATTTTTATTTCCATCTGATTTTCCACTTAAAAAAACCCCTAAAATTTAGGATTTTACACTTATTTTTTTAATTAAAAGTGATTTTTTTCCCTCCAATTTTGAAGCACCCCTAGAATTCCAACCCCCTCATTGAGGAATTCCAGAGGAATTCCCTAGGGAAGAATTCCCAGGAGATTCCCTCCAATCCCACAAATCCAAAGAGCTGAAATTAATTAAAAAAAACCAAAAAAAACCCCCAAAAAACCCCAAAAAACCTGGAAAATCCCAGAATTCCAAGCAAACTCCACCCCATTTTATCCAACAAATCCCCCTCCCTCCGAAATTCCCGGATTTTTCCAGGATTCCCAAAAAAAAACCCCTGACAGAAGGACGGTACTTACTTTTTTTAACTCCTAGGAAAGCATTAAAAAAAACAGGGATAACATCAGAGAAAATTCCCAATTTTTTCAGGAATCACCAGGAACAAGATGCAAATTAATTAATAATTAACCCACTCGTTAATTAACGCATTTAATTCAACAGAACACCCAGGAAATTCCCAGAATTCCATGGAATTCATGGACAAACATCCCCAAAAAAACCCCCCAATTTATTCCCATTTCCAACAGCAAGGAAAAGAACATCACTGTGGTTTCATCCAGAAGGATTTTCCCAATCCCAATCCCGATTTTTGGGCGATTGAAGCCCCCAACCATTCCCAAAAAAAAGATTCCCGCCATTCCCGAGGCGTTTTTTGCTCCCTCAGCAAAAAAAAAAGCGGATTTTTAAGGAATTCAAAGCTTAAAATCGGGAAAAGTGAAGTTTTCTGCTCCGTGTCCGTCGGTTTTCCCGAAATAAACCGGGAAAAAGGGGGTTTTCCACAGTTTTCCACCCCAAAATTCCGCTGGAAGTTTGGGATTCCGAGGTTTTGGGAATGTTTGTTCTTTGCAGGCGCCAAATCCCAGCCTGGAAATTCGGGATGAGAGGTCGGAGATCCAAGAGGGAAACGGGAATAAATCCCAATAAATCCAAATCCAAACATTCCACTCGGTGTTTCCAAGATTTTGCTCCTCTTAAAGTGGTTCTTCCGTTGTTTAATTCCTGAAAATCGGCTCTTTCCCAGTTTTCCTGCTGTTTCCATTCCCTAAAATTCCCGGCTCTGGACACCAGTGGGAATTTTCACCATCCCTTTGGCAAAACTCCCAGGAAAAGGCAATTCCCAACCTTTGTGGATGAGGAAATCAGGGATTTGGGAATTCAGAGGGAAATAAAGACTGGGAATGTGGGGAATTCTCTCCCTCGGGAGAAACGGGATAAGAGTTGGGAATAAACAACTCAGGGGGAGGGAAAATTCCTACCTGAAGGTCAGGGAGAAACAGGAAAACACCTGGAAAAGAAAAACATGGAGAGGGAAGAGTTACAGCC